TCAGCTAGTCGAGATATGATGATCAGTATACTTAAAGGTGGGTCTAGGGCCAATATTTCGCGGCGTTACAAACTCTTGGGACTGCACAAATCTATAATACCCTGACAACATAGTTGTGTAGGGTATAAAAATTACTTCATGCAGGAAATTGTCTAAATTGTCGATAGCTGAGTTGGGTCATTTAAAGTATTTTGAAGATCGGATTTTTTCAATTAAATTCGCCGCAATTTAACATTCCGAGATACCAGAGTGTTAAATACGCATCGTAGAAAATTTTCGCTGCAGAACCGCCTTTTTCAATCTAAGTTACAGAATTTTGTTAAAGTTCATATGAGGTTCCGCAATTCGGTTTCTCAGAAGGTCGAACTTTTCAAAGAAAATGTGATCTTTATATAATTAGTTTGTAGGTTCTGACCACATTTTCCAACCGATGTGGCTGCATATCGGGCTATCAGTGCATAAAATACCACCTTGCAAATAATAAATTTGAAATGTAGATCTAGGGGTCCTGGAATATATAATGTTATACCTTACAACATAACTGCAATGCGTTGATGTCGATGGTCCGGACAACAGCAATACAATTTTCTTATTAACTTGATTTTTTTATAAATTTCTCAATAACAATAAAATTATTTCTTCGAAAACAAAAAAGAAACATATTTTTATTTGATTTTATTTTTCTACCGAATTTCGAACTAATAAATTATATTGATTTGACTGACATTGACATAGATTTATTCACATGACCATATGTAAATATATCAACAGTTACGTAGCACCTTCTACTCTATATAAATGTATTTTTTTTGTATATATTTCATAATCCACAAAGAAACAAATATCAAAAAAAGAGAGAATTAATCAATCAATGAAATACATACAAAACACATACATACACACACCCGCAAGAGGATGTGTGTTCAAATGAATGTTATGGTTATTACTTTTGGTGTGATGATGGATTTTTATTATAAAACAAACAAAAATAGAATAATGAATTGATAGATATTGTCATCAACTCTATTAGTTATGATTTCTATAAATTACAAGTGAAAATGATAGTGATTAATTAACAAATTTTGGATACACAAATAAAAAAATAATTAACTATTGTTATTCTATTATCCTTAACTATTATATTCTATATTTATATACTGCCCATCAATATAGCATAAACTTCTTTATAACGAACACATGGATTTATTTTTACCATATAATGTAGTAATTCCTTTTCTTCCCAAACTCCCACGTCATGAACATTTTCCACTGTATTTTTTGCAACGTGTTTCATAAAAAACAAATCTATATGTATAACAAATTAGCATCTATTGACATTGATTTCGTCATAAAAAATTGTCTGTATGTGAATGAACTTTGGCAAATAAAAAATTGTTTATCTTCTAAGTAAAGGCGGAAGAACAAAGTCAAAACAAAATTTCAAAAACAACAAATTTTTTGCATTACCCAATATTTTCTCTTTTTGGGTGCCTTATTTTGAAATTTTTTTTTTTTTTTATTTTATGATATATCATATAAATGATGAAATTTATAAGAGGGCGTAATTGTTCTTAGCTCCTATGAATAAGTTGAAAATAATCTAAATGAGTAGGGGTAATTTGAATTACGTTTTGATCAGCTGGTCTTCTAAGGTAAAATGTGGAAACGTCGTCCATGTCGAATGTTGTAACATGGGCATTGCATTTACATTACCTTAAATTGGCCAGAACCTTTATATGGGAAAGAAGATTTAGTAATCACTAGGAATTCTGTCTGAAAATGCAGGTAAAAACTTCAAAATACCAAATATATGTAAGCTATGTGGAATAATTGACGTATTCGACAATTTTCTGGAGATATGACTTTCTTCCGTCAGGAATCCTAAATACCAAATCACGCCACTTCGATATTGCAGATATGTTTTTCTTACCCCAGGAAAGCCACCTCGATGAAAAATACGCCAAAAAATCTGGAAAATGGACGAGTATTTTAGTTTGAGACTATGTCATAATATATATATACCTGAATGCCTAACTAGAGGTATTTCTGTTTGAAATTCGGCTAAAACCTTCAATATAACGGACATGGGAAGGTAACTTTATTTTGAGGCTACATCAGAACCTATATTTAAATTTTTTTCCAACGATGTTTCCCGCACTCTATGAACCCGAAAAGCCAAATTAAGGTACATTGGATGGGAATTTCTGCTCAGCCCTTTAAAATGATAAAAATAATGGTCCATTTATGTCTGAAAATAAAATTATATTATAGATGTTTACTACCCTCCAAGAAACCAATATGTCAAATTTCGGTTCAGTTTCGGCTAAGCTTAAAAACGAGGTACAATATAACCCATTTGCAATACATAGGAAGAGTATCAAGATAATCTGGATACGCGCTTGCATTCCTTTTCACTAGTAGAAGGTACATCGGTTTTTTGATTTCCTTCAGGCCCCTCGAAGACTGCTTGGTGATTGATGGTGCTGGTGAAATTTGCACTTTAGTGTCAGTCGATGTTGCCGACAGAAGGTATTCGGTATTCGCTTTATATTAGGTATATGTTTTTATCAAAGAGGTTTCGGATTTAAAATTGAACAAATAGGTTATTCAATTTGCTTCAAAATAAATGTACAAATTTATAAAATATTGACCCTTTGTGGGGGAGGTGCCACAAGGAGAGGGCGGACGGGTCCCATCCTAGGAATTGATCTAGGCTTGGTAAAGATAATAGGTTGTTTGTTTCAAATCGGTTCAATCGTCTAACATTGAATTTTTAATATTTGATTTGTTCCAAAGAAACATGGGGTCTAAAACCAATATTTCGATGAGACACATTTTTGCCGTATCAAAGTCTACCAAAGCGTATATACCATAAGGCTCGAGGTATAACAAGCTGTCAATCTAAATCAAAAACTATTCTTTATTACAGACTTGCATATGCCTGCTACTTCGTTAGCGAATGTGGGAATGATTTAAAAACCAATACCGACCATAATTAATATAATTTTAGTATCATTTAGTACCTATTTTATCTTATAGGACATATTTCGAAAACTACCTCCATATCTCAACACTACACACCAGGGAAGTACGCAGGGATGCGGCCCAGGGAGTAGATAGAAATCTTATTATCCAATTTCTGGATTTCAGCTCTATCGGTTCACAATAAATCCAAATTATACCAAATTTATTGTAATATAGTACGCATTAGTAGACGGGTTCAAAACTTCTTAACTACCCTAATCTAACACCCCAACAGTGATACTCATAAAAAATCCAAATTTATTACACATAAGTACGAATTTTCAAAAAAAATACCATTTTGTACACATAAGTACGAATTTTCAGAATTATTTACATACCTCAATTCCACCCTTCAATTTTAATATTAATCCCAAATGTTTAGTATTCCAGCTCTAGCGGTTCACCTTAATCCAATCTGTATCAAATTTAGTACTTTTCATACACATAAGTATAAATTTCCAAAATTACCTACATATCCCATTCTTACACCCCAACAGGAATTTTAACTCCAAATTTCAGGGTTCTAGCCCTATTTGTTCTCTCAAAATTCAAATTGTACCAAATTTAGTACACATAAGTACGAATTTCCCAAACTACCAATATACCTTAATCCTACACTCCAACAGTAATCTTATATCCAAATTTCAGTGTTCCAGCTCTATCGGTTCACCGAAATCCAAACTCTATCAAATATAGTACATTTTAGAACTTTTCGGATACTTATAGGTCGAATGGTCAAAAAACCATTTACTACATCTATTCTACGCTCCATCAGTGAACTTCATTTTAAATTTAATAGTTCTAGCTCTACCGGTTCGCCAAACACAAATGGTACCTCATTTAGTACTTTTCATGCCGTTACAAAACCCCAGTCTTATCTGACGCCTTTGAACCAAGAGTGACCATTATCCCAAATTTCAAGATTCTGACTGATGAGTCTTTTATTAGTATAGATTTTTATACCCACAGTCTTCGGCAAAAATGTGCCTCACCGAAATTTTGTTTTTACACCACGTTTCATTGGGCCAAATTCGTTTCTGAAAATTTGGCGATGATCAAAAAATGTCCGTCGGTTTTCTGGTTGGTGTGCACGATAACTCTAGAAAAAAATTCAAAGATGGGGAATATTGGTGCACTCCTTCTAGTACTTCACCCACAACGGGTTCCATCTTCGCCCATTTGTTTTTGCAAATTTTGTCACAATTGTATATATTACCGAATTGTGACAAAATTTGCCACAACTCATTTGTGTGTTCCGAATTCGAGAGAATCGATCTTGATTTATATATAAGCTCCCGTATATAATAAATAAAGTATCAAAGCCACCAAGACCATGTCAAGTTCATCAAATTTAATAAACTTTTAATGGATTCCACTAACAAACACCCTTTACAAAATTTAGTTAAATAATATGTCATTATAAACACACACACATTACAACTCAGTGTCTGATTTTCAAGGATAATAGATTTTAATGACCAAGGACAATAATATGCAACATATCTGTTCCTAGACCACAAACCAGCAACAACAGTAAAAAATTACAACATCAGCTATTCACTACTACTAACAACAATAAAACAAACAACGACAACAGTGATGCTAATGATGACATATAATCGAAGGCAACAACAACAAGAAACGAATCTAATAATTTGCTCTACACATAAAAATCATTTGTAACTGACAAAGGCAAAGATATGATGACTGACAAGATTGTACATCCCGACAATATGACCTTGACATCAAAGTTCACATTTCATAACACTATGCATAGTGTTCATCTTCAGATGAAAACATGCACACACACACACACTCTTTTATATATGTGTGTGAAAATGTGTTGAAGTGGTTTTTTTATATCGATAAGGGGAATACATTAGCCAACTATAATAATTATTACCATATTATGGAATATCTTAGTCTCTTAATGAAATTTAAGCAAAAACTATTTTTCTTTTCTTTCTTTTTTGTAGGAATTGGTGGCCATATCACCGGAAAGACGTAATTGGCGCGGCATATTTATTGCCCTGCTAGTAATAGCGGCTGTCTTCAGTTTAATTATATTTTCAATATTTTTACTATCACCAGGTAAGTAAGTGCTGAAGAGGGGTATATGCGAGAGAGTGCCTTGTTCCATTTTCTAATATGTGTTTATAATTTTTGTATTGTTTTTTTTTTCCTTTGTTTCCCCCAGAGGATGAAGCTTTACGCTTACGTGGCGTCAGATTAACATTAAGTGATATTTTAAGTAAACGCTTACAATGGAAACCATTTAATGGTACATGGCATAGTGGTAAGTGTATATATACGTATATTTAATTGTAATTTTTATTTAAGCATAGCTGGATTTTTATTGTGCATTATTAAGGGAACATATAGAAAAAAATTTAAATGCTTCAACTTTAAATAGCAAGGAAACCTCAAAATGTTATGCATGAAATGTGAAAGTTCGCCAACCACATATTTTCCAAAAGCAGACAAAAAAATTGGTTATCATATAAATTGACGGTGACAGTCACTCCATCGTCGTTTTCGAAAAAGTCCCGACTTTGGACCAACCAGGTCACGAAACAATGACTTTTTATCTCTTCAATTACATCAGGTTTCTTAGAACCCTAAATTCGACAATTTTGTTTATAAACATATCCACCGAGTGAGAAATGTACTTCATCGCTGAAGAAAATTTTGTTCGAAAAATTCCATTCTATACCAGTCCAAGAAATGTATAACCCTATATATACTTAATTAGAATAAACTTGTATTCCATATCCGTCCATCTGTTGAAATTACGATCGAGATCGCAATATTTAAAATAGGGTTTTGAAATATTCCTCCCTACAAATCTTAGGATGTTTGGTGTTATAAATGGGATACATAGGTCCTCATTTTGGTATAGTTCCCATTTAACAGAACCCATTTTGAAGGATTTAGTTACATTTTCCAAACGAAAGGGGTGTAATTTGTCATTCCGAAGTTTTGGAGGCTGAATCTATGTTTTGACATATAGAGGTCCCGCTCCATTTTCCGAGCGGGACTACCTTAATCGATCTGGGCATGTGTGCCCGTCCGTGCGTCTCCATTATAATTTATAAACACAATACAGGTCACACTTGTGGACTAATCGGCACAAAAGAACATTTTGCATGTAAAACGGGTTCTGTCCAAAGAAGATCCCTATTATTTTTGGTAATAATCGGTGAATATTAAGGGGATAAAATGTACCAAAAACTTTATATTTGCCTGTTTTTCGGGTCAATTATGAGCCGGACACCATGCAATTTTACACGAAGAAGGGGATTTAACCAAAGAATAAGCATGACGGATATGAAGAGGATCGGTTAATATTCAGGGGGGTTAATGAACCAAGACATTTGTATGGAAATTTACAAAATTTGCATTCTAAGTCTTATATATTTACTCCTGAAGGCTAAAGACCCGAGAGAGAGATTAATTAATTATAATTATCTATAGAAACAAGTAGAAACTTCTCTGAAGAAAATTTTTAGGTTTCTATTATTTCTTATGGAAAGAAATGAATACATCGACTCCCTAGCATTCTGCAAATTTCTATATGAGATTTTAAGGGTACATAGTCCTCTAAAATGTTGTATGGAAAAGTAGGGTTCCCTTCATTGCCTTCTACATTTGCCAGGCTCCCCAGGTTTCTACTATTTCCTCTGGAAACAAGTAAATACATCGACCGGATTGAATTTATACCCTCCTGCATAAGATGAACATTCAATATGTCCAATAGAATACGAAGTCTCAAACTTTAGATATTCAGGATGGAAAACGTTAACATTCTGAAAATAACGACCTTTGTATGGGGATTGTGTCAGAAAATGGTCTAATATTAAAAATGGCAGGCCCTTGTGCCGAAGTGACAATATTTTAGTATCATAAAGGGAGGATTATATTGACATTGCGTACTAAAATATTGTCACTTCGATTGGAAAATTACGCCAAGAGCCATTAAAAACCTAATAATGGACTGATATTTATACCCTTCACCACTCTGCGGTACAGGGTTGTGTCTTTGGGAATATGTTTGTAACAGGCAAAAATAATCGAAATAGACCCATGGTTCCTTTTGAGAATATGCATAGAATCATTTTCTGAGTCGATTTTCACAGCGTACTGAATTAGGTCCAAATTTATGTATGCGAAGTTTTGTTGGAATCGCTTCAGATTTAGATATAGCTCTCATATACGCTTTTGTCCGATTTTATGTAAATACTGCGCTGCTTAGTTAGGTCCAGATAGTCGTATGTGAAGGTTTTTTCGAGTCATTTTTTACCAGGTCTTCTATAGAATAAAATACCTTTTCCAGTTTGACACCAGAGAAGCGTTTTGCAGATAAAATACCTCCCACAGATCGTTTAACAAATAACATGTAATATACCATGTTCCCCATTTTGATAATGCAAAATAAAAATCCCAAAATTATTTGCCATACATTTGTACTTTTAATTTAATTCAATATTCTTTCTTTTTCCCTCTCTCTTTACAGACAATGAATTAGTTTTTCGAGATCCCACTGGTGGTCTGTCTATATTAAACTTAGATAACTATACAACGCGTGTTTTAATGACCAACTCATCATTTGTAAGTTCCAAAAAAATGCAATTAAATATAAAACTGAAAAGAATGTTCAAAAATACAACAACAACAATAAGCCAACAAATAGTGTTTTGTTTATGCAAAATTTCAATTTCATTAATGTTTGTTTTTTTTATTTTCCTTCATTTTACAGAGGCAATTGAATGCTGAATCATTTCTAGTAGCACCAGATCTTAAATATGTTCTACTGCAACACGACAGCAGTGCGGAGGGATCAAGGTAAGTTTATATGGGGAAAACATTGCAGTCGAAAAAACTAAAAGCCAGACACCAACAATATTCACAAAGCAGACGGACAGACAGAATCGATATAAAATTTGAAATTTAATTTTCAATTTGTTTATTGGCCAATATCATCTACAACTCATCGTATAAACACAAACATTTGAGCTATTAGAGAGCGTAGCCAATATCAATAGTCCCAAATAAATGGTGCAGAGGTGTGGTGTCGGCAGCGATCGTGTACTTAGTGTAATTGATTCTTCAGTTTATTGATATTTTTTCTGAAAAAATATTAATTTAAAATTTTCTTCAAATCGTTTGATCTTTATTTCATAACACAGATAGCCAGTATTTTAAGTGATTTGATTTATGGTGATTTGAAAGAAGAAAAATTTCAAATATTTAAAATTGTTGATGTTAAAATAAAATACTTATGGGTTATTGTACTTGGAATTCGAATAATTAATTATTTGTTATAAGTAATATATTTTTAGGGGACTTCCATAGACAAAATACCTTTCAAATTGTACATGAATTGTCATACAAGTATTCCGAAGACAGAATATCTTCGATGAGCCCATGTACATAGACAGAATACCTCCAATACACATTTTTAATGGCCTTTATAACTGGAAGACTTTTCACAGGTCTCCTAGTGCTCGATGGTTCCTCATATATCTTCTAGCAAGTAATCAAATCGTATGTTTCGGCCGGCTGAACTTGGTATACACTTCACCATGCAGTGTGTATTCAAAATGCCTTAAATCTGCCGTGTCCCTTATATTTGAAACTATATCATTCTAAATCATCTGCTTGTAGATAAAAAAAATTGGGATATAACAAACATGTACCTATAATGACAATTTTCGGGACAAAGTTTTTTATTCACCAGGAATCTGGAATGCCAAATTACAGCCAATGCATATACATAGGTAGAAAAACTGGTCTAAGAACTTTATCTGACCGAAAATTAAGCTTGTCATATTTACAGTTGGAAATGCGACTAAAACCTTCAAAAATACAGAAAATCAGGCAAAACCTTGTCAAGACAAAAACCTATATTAACCAGTAAGGAAAGTAGTAAAGGCGGACTGGGCCAACTATATGATACCCTTCTCCACTTTGGATATATTAGGAGTTTGGCGCATCATTTACATGAAATCGGACGAAAATATATTGGGGAGTTATAACTAAATCTGAACCGATTTCAACGAAACTTGCCAGAGAATAATTTATATTTACTTCTAGACTTAATTCAGTACGCTATGCTAAATTTCGTACAAATCGAAAGATATATACGGGCTTTGGTACACAATTTACATAAAATCGGACGAAACTATATACGGGAGCTATATCTACATCTGAACCGATTTTTCCCAATTCCAATAGGGCTCGCCCTTGGGCCAAATAGATGAGCTGTGCCAAATTTCATCTTTGTTTACAATTTAATATCGACAGGCAGGCAGACAGGCGGACGGACATGCATAAATCGACTCAGAACCATATTCTTATATTCTCAAAATATGTGTCTATCTCGTTTACTTTTGCCTGTACCGCAGCGTGTAATGCCCTTCCAAAACCTAAAATGCCAAATTACAGCCTCTTCGGTAAAAAAAAAAAAATGAGGCTAAAAACGTCAATATACCGAAAATGGGGTAGAGCCTTTATATGGGGGATATTTCGAAACATGGACCTACATTTAACATTTTCTACAGATATATTTATCACCCATAGTTAACATATTCTACAGATATGTTTGTCTATCTTGGCCCTATATAGTACAGAGCCAGCTTAATTGTAGATAATTCAATGGTTTGAATACCTTTTCTACAGCGGAATTTAAGGAGGAGAAGAATTGAGGAAGGTATAGAAGAAAAAAGTTCGGCCAGGTTACTAACTCCGCATTTTTCAACGAAAATAGTCTGCATTTATAGATTTCGGATAAAGGGTCTACGGGTTCAAAGGTAGGTACAGGGACATCCTAATTTTAGGTAATTAAAAGGTTCGAATAGTTTTTTGCAGCGGACAAAAGAGGTTTCATTTTTAGAACCCCTGATCCAAAATATGCAAGCCTAATCTTTGATAATTTAAAGGTTTGAACAGTTTTTTTTTACAGCGGAATTGTAGGAGGAAAAGGCGGAGAATTGAAGAAGATATATAAGAAGTTCGGCCAGGTTACTAACTTAACTCGGTATTTTTAAAACTAAAGAGACTACATTTTTAGATTTTGGGCTCGGATAAAGGTACTCCTTGTCCAATATATGAGCATAGGATCAGTTTTTTAGGTAATTCAAAGGTTCGAACGGGTTTTTACTGCTGAATTTTGAGGGGGAGGAGGAGAATTGTGGAATATATATAAGAACTTCGGTCTGGTACTAACTTAACTCCGAATTTTTCAACCAAAATAGGCCGCATTTGTATTCTTGGAC